CTCAACAAAATAGAAAATTTACAAATTTGTTAAGTGCAAAATGATAATATCATATATGTTCATTGATAACAGGTATTTATAATCTAGCTTAGACCTTTTATCGAACGATAGGAATAATATATCACCGAGTTGTTTAATGCTTCCTTCATTTCAAAATTTATTCATAAGTAAAGGTAATTACTAGAGTAATAAAATCTATTTCATATCAAATTTATTCATCCGTCTATTCTGCCCATATAGGGAAAAAAAACCTGCCTGAATTTATTTGTCCAGCTTTTTCGGAATATAATAAGGCTTTTCATAATTTATGAGTGATAATCAAACGGATAGTTAGATCTTTAAAAAAAAGAAAACTTCGAGATAATCTAAAATTTGTATTAAAAGGTACAAAAAAACGGAAAAAAAACAAAATCAAATGATTTTTCTTAATTCGTTGAAGAAATTAATTTTGAAACAAATCCTTCGCCTGAAATGGTTGAGTTAAATATTTTGAAGATGAAATCAAATAAGAAAATTCCATTTTCGTTTATTCTGTTAAAAAAAAGGTATGCTTATCATTAATGGGTGTGACAGTGCTCTACACCAAAAGCATCATTTCATGACTTGCAAAGAAGTAGCCAAATATTAATTTATTTTGGTCTCATGATAAGAAGGAATATCTTTAACTCGAGAGTTACCAATAAAATTACGCCAATGATGTTTGTTTTGGTTACAAGCAGGAATAATATCCAAGCAGGCATCATTTGTCAGCAAACAATTTACACAAATGTTTTTCGCTGAATTCAGCACTATCAAAGTAATCTAAAATAAAATTAAAGTCCTCAAAAAAATTTTCCTGAATTTAAAACCTAGGACTAACAGAAATGAAGTCCTAAATCGATAGATAAGTTAGCAAATAAGTTGGTTACTGTGTTTGGTTCACACCACAGTTCTTGAAATTAAATTAAATGCAGTATCTCCATCAGATCGAATAATTTAGTTCATTAATTCGAATCATTTGCAATTATTTTTAATTAGCTATGATATACGGTTTTCAAGGATTTATATAACAGAATAAATTCCAGCAATTTATTATAGATCATTTCTGGCTTATCATCAATTTCAAATCCTCCAATATTAATAAGCTCTGTGATAAAGGATAATTATTACATACTTACAGCAATATAAACAATGTAGTTCTATCATTTTTATTACAGTACAATTAATTGACAACCTGTAAATACTAAATCTACGTAGTTTAAATAGTCCTTTTTAAATTATAGCTGAACTGATTTATTTTCAACAAATAAACAGTCTCAAGAATTGAATTCTTCTCCATTTTAGCATTAACAAATTTATATGAATGCCTTCTTCTTTCTTGATTTGATAATACCTATGTAAAATTTGCTCGTTTAATTGTAATTGCTATTGTGCTTTTACCAATATCACCAACAACATTACTGTCGCCCATTATTACCATTAGCATTTCCTGCTTTCAGGCATTCCCCGCCCTGCGCATCCCTAAGCGTCCTCTCATCAAGGAAGCCATGTTCCCCGCAGTTTGAATATTTCACTTCCAATATACATATATACACATATAGTATAGCAGAACGTTAATTGTATATGACCTTCGTTTATCATCTCATTTTTCCCTTCATTTATTTTACTTTAATCTTTTCTTCTCTTCATTTCCAGTTTTTGTCTCTCTTTCCATCGTTTGTTTGCATGTAAGGTTCACAGGTCCTTCTTAATGTTGCCGACAATTGTCGTTTCGTTCCTTGTCCTCATTCATCACCTTAGTTACCTCGTTCTACCTCACTGAACCTCTAATTACACATTAAGAAGACTAACAGAGTGATAGGAAGAAATGTGGCAATTTAAAGAGAAGCACAAATAAGAAAAGACAGTAAATGCAATAGGTGCTAATGCCAAAGCAGAAGCAATTTGAGTGTTACAAAGGGTGTCACTTCCCACTCTTTCCTCTTTCCTTCACATTTGCATCTCCTTCATCACACCTTAGCTCAGTGTTAATAATCATAGTATTTGCAATACTTGATAGGCAAATAAAAAGTATACAAAAGTATTTCTTTTGGATTTATTGTAGTTAAAATGACATCCTACACAATGAGGAGGAACTATTAAGGTAAGGTCTCTTCAATAGATGGATTAAATAAAATAATTTGACAATCATTGTTAAAATCTTTCTGAAAAAAAATTGAGATACAATAAGAGCATGGCTGGTTCATAGCTGCCTACCATCAGGAGAGGTCGAATAGTTCTAAATGAGGTGAATCCCTAACATATTGGCTAAAGTCAAAAAGCGTCGTCGAATGGACGTGTTTGTGTCCTTCCGACAAACATATCTCAAACATCAAGAGGACATTAAAGGTAATGCATATAATCATAGTTCATTGAGCATTTTTTTTTTATTTATCGTAATATTCTGAAATATTCTCACTTACAGGCTCTATAAGTGAGAATATTTCAAAATATTATGTATTTAATTGATAGCAAATTCCATTTCATTATTATTAACAACGACTTCTCCTACACGAAAATTTTACAATAAATGCGCTCAGACAATATCGCCAGACCAATTTTACTTTCAAGAAGATATAAATAACAGTATCGAAAAGAATCTAAAAAGAAAATAAATCCTATCACATATCAGCAATAAAAATGATTGATAATCTAAAGATCAATCAATAATCTTATTCAAACTTCTGATAGTTGTAAATGAAAAAACACTGAAAAGATTAAGTGTCCAAGAAAAACTTTAAGAAGAAAACGAAAGTTAAAATCAATTTGATTCGAAAAACTAATGCAGGGATACAGTTCGGAAAACGGTGGTGATGCACCTGCGAAATAGTATCTTTATAATTTCTTTTGCTATCTTACAACCCAATTATGACAAATAGCCTATCTAAAATTATTCACTACCGTTCATCTTTTGGCAGAGAAACTCCGCAAATCCATTTATTCAATCAAAGATCCCTGGCTTTTTTGAAATAATTTTATTCTTTCTACATTATCAAAATTTTTTTACAATCTCAACTGTTTTCATATAAAATCGTTTTGTTGCAAAAGTTGACAAATATGATCTGAGATTGGCGTATCAATTTTAATTATAAATATTGATTTTATGATAGTTTACAATTTGTTAATGCATTTCTGTCGATTATATTCATACTAAATTAAATCTAACACTCTTTTAACTCACAAATCAAACATAAAATATCTTACAATTTACACAGCAAATTCACATAGTCTATTCATCATTACTGCACGTATATGCATGCTAGCATGATGCGTGTGTTGTTTCGCAAACACAAGCTACACAATCACTAATCGCAGCAAGTGAATTCCAATTGTGACACAGTTTTCTTGAAAGCTTAAAATACATTAATGTTTGACAAACAAAAATTCCAAGTATTTGCGAAGCGAAGCAAAGGAAAATTTTGACTCATCTTAGAGGGAAAGTTCTTTATGAAATGTAAATACAAACAGTGCTAATTTTTGCCAAATACAATTTAACGATTTGTGATTCATGGCCTATTTATGAAATGGAAAACTGCAGACAATAAGCAGCGGTATTACGACGACATTATGCTTATAATTGATGCTTATAATTATTGTTGTCATGTGAAGGGAAGATTTCTTGATTATGAAACTCAATAGCAATAGTAATAATGATAAGATTGATAGTATGCTCTCTTACCATTCATTATCAATTATTTATTTGCCACAACTGTTAGCAATGAAGATTTGATACTATTAGCAATGAAGATAACCAATAATAGCAGTAACAAATAAAATACGAATGGTAAATTAAATAATAAATTGAGATTTGCTAACTCGATGGAAACTGGTTTACGTCTATCATGAATGCTAATTTGCATATTTAGGTATAATTTTATCGGTAGTTTGAGATTTTAATTCAAAAAAGATTATTTGCTGTTCCCCTAGCAGATTATCACTATCATGATTACTCATAAAATTAAATTCCCGATTTTGATAAATTGGATTATATAGAATCATGATTAGAATGATGGGAAGGAGAACAAGACAAAGTCGATCATCTACTGTTCATTAGATTTTGAGGATTTGTTGTCACAGCCGGCATTAGTTTCGGTTCGCTAATAGCTATATTAATTTAATCTCTGCAGGAGGTAACTACTATTTTATTCAGTCCTACGCCCAATTCGGCTCATCAATCTCTTTGCTGTTCATCAAACCAATTATCGTTTATATGCATTTTCAACAAGTGATTTTGTAAAATGAGGGGAGTCAGAAATGAAAGAGAGATAGATGGTCGCTTCCAATCAAGATAATTTTAAAATTTAAAGATTAGGATTATTCTTTCTCCTCTCTTCTCTGTTTCCAATCACCTCTTTGATTCCACATGTTCCACTACCTCTCAGACCTCAATCCACAATTAACTACTAACTAATAGCAGAAGCAAATCGAAAACTAGTTTTTAAAAATTCCAAAGCATCAATTGCAATCGCATTGCCTTTTAACTACACGTGATCATAGATACACTTATTTTGGGGCATTCTTCATATTATTTTTTCCCATAGCCATCATTAAAACGATTTATTTGCGGAATAAATTTTGAGAAAAGTAAATTTGAAAAAGGATTTCTGAAACAATCTGAAAGTTCTAGTAATTTGTGCTTGAAAAATTTCTCGAATAAATGTTGTCCAGGAGAAGTGAAAAATTGATAAACATAAGCATGAGATAATTCTGCTTGAAAATAATGGCTGCAATCGATAGACTTCCTAAAACTACCAGTCTTAGTTCATCTGAAAATTCCTTTGAGCTACCAGATATTAAATATAATATATAAATATAATAAAGCTATCCAAAAATACCAAAAACAGATCTAGATTGTAATAACACAATGACGAGGCTGGCTGAAATAACAACTCGTGCAAGACTAGCAAAACTTTTCTGTTGCAAAATTAAAAAAAAGTCATCTGAAGCAGAATAAGTACTATTAGATTGTGTACATTGCTGGACTAATTGTATATCTCTACTCTAATACTACTGTAATGCAAAATACACTTACCACAATCGGCATCCAGATTTAAACTTTCCTGTTCTATTTCAGTATCTTCTACATTTGGTGGATGTTGCTGCATGTGTTCTGCAACTTACACCAAATAAGAATGAAACTGTTTCAAAATCTGGCTGCAAGAATCTTCACTATTTAATCAGTGAAGGCTTTTTTAATTAGCAATAGTCGTGCACAGGAGGAATGATATCAAGAAGGATAATCAACTTATCTAGTTTAGGTTGCTCGATTTATATTTTATATTCAGTAATTACCGATAGCGCCCGCAGTATCGGTTGTCTCAAAAGAACAATGTCGACATTCGAGAACAGTTTCAGGACTTGGTGATACTGATATAGCTGCTGTTGGTGGCGCAGAACTACCATCCGAAGCGTTTCCGGTTTCACTAGGCATCGATGTAAATTGTGTTATCCGGACGGAATGTGCACGACTCTCACAATGTTCACGTAATGCCAGTGGACTGAAAAAGGATTTTTGAATTATCAAATTAAGTCGACCGGCAAAATTGTTTTAAAATAAAGCATTTTCTTTCTGGAACCATTTCCATGAAATTATTTTTAGGGTAAGAAGTGAAGCCATATTACGCAATCGGAATAAATACCACAAAAATCTTGATTTGATCTTTTTTTTTCGATTTTTATTATCGAGAAGATAATTTATGCAACATCATAATTTATGCAGCAGAAAGTAAGAAAGAATGGAAAATAAAATTTGTAATTTCTAAAATATTATTAGAGCTGTTTATTATGATTGGAGAGTTAAATTTAGGGAAATTAAATTTCTATCAATAGATTTCATCCTCTGCGATCAAATTTTTAGTTAACTGCCATTGTATGCAGTATACGTCTTAAATCCTTAAAATGGGAAACAAAGCTCAGCACTTCAAGCTGTATTATTCCCTCCCGAAAGTGATGGACGAATATTGATACAAGCCTCTTCTAATTTCCTATATCATCCTTTTAAGACTTCTTATCATTCTGAAGCTATCATGACGTGCAAGTTATCAATATTTAAACGACTATGAAAATATGCGATAGAAAAACAGAATATGAACGGATCGACATAAACACTTGCTTTTCTTGTTATATATGCGAAAAAAATCTGTTATTACATTTTTTTAGGTCTTCGTTTTCTCCTGTCTTTGAGCTCTTTATCAGCTTTTCCACAGAATGATTCATTATCAAAACATGAAATGGATCTCAAATTATTTCTCGCCTTTTATTATCGAGAAAATAATTTATGCAACATTATGTGCGGAGGATAAAGAAAGAATGGAAAATAAAATTTATAATTTCGTAAAATATTATAAAATCATGCAGTAAAATTCGTTTATTCCAACAATTTTTTTTTGAGGAGAAATTCTGCGAATTCTAGGAAATCACATTGCTCTTCATCATTTTGAAAGTTTTCTAGGAAGGAAGAAGAATGCCTCTACACGATGAAGGAACACGTAGAATACTGACTAAATCTTTGATTCGCGATATCGATGATGAGTGAATTCTGGTGCAAAGATATAACAATTAGAAGAAATCGATGAGGGATTTTTAAATATAAAGCAAGGGTGAACAGAATATTACAAGAAACTAAAAAAATATAAGCAAAATTTACCATGACAAAATTTCTTGACATGCTCGACAACGAACCTGTACAGCACTTTTGGCGGAACTAATCCGACATAGTGCTGCCGATGCTGATAATGATATTCCAGCGGCGCCACCCTCACGCATATGATTCATCTGGAATAAATAAACGCAGTATATTAACTTCTCATACTTGAACTCTTTTTCAAAGAAAAAGAAGTAAATACGTAATTTGTCGAAATGTGATTTTCGTTTTGTGGGAAATAAAATCAAATGATATGTAAGAGCGGATATAGGAGAAGTTAATATTATTTCAAGTGATAACAAATTGCTATAGTCAGTCAAAAGTTATCATCAATAATGAATAGAACACAAATCCATGCTCTATGTATGATCAACTTCTATCTCATCAAAATTGCATATATCTTATAGTCTTTTTAAGGATGTTTTAAAAAATAAGCAATATAGGAAGTTCTGAACTAAGAACTTTATGAACCAATAAAAGAAGAGCGATACTGAGAGAGGAATCAGTCATCAGCTCTTCTTTTGCTTCCCCACCGTAAACCTCTCTCCTATTAATCGATCACAATATCAGCAATTACTTGCAGCATTCATTTAAATGCTTTTTTTTAGAAGCATTAAAATATGACATAATCGAAAAAAGAAACGTTGGAAAAAAAGCATTCAATGAGATAATATGTCATAAAACGAAATAGAAAGTACTGTTGATTAGAATGGTAAACAATCATGACAAGCATGCATACTATGCTTATCTGTAAAGATTCTTAATAATAAAGCGCGGGTGATGGTAATGAAGATTTGAAGACAATTCACTCATTTGTAACCAAAATTGGCCAATCAGCGTTAGCGAAGAGCCACGCCTTTCCAATGACAAATGAATTAGCCGATAAAGATATTAGCACCGCCCATATTTGCCACAGTAATTACTATGACTTACGTAGCAATTAAGAGCAATATAAATTAACATATGACGGATGTACGTACTAGACAAAAATGTTTTGTTACGTATGAAGGATAGCATTAAGCATAACTTACTAGTGATCAAATTAGTCGATTCATGAGAGATTGTGAAAATTTTTCGCGATAATTGTTTAAATGAACATAACGATCGATAAATGTGAAGAATATACAGAGATGAAATGAGATGTTACAGAAAGCCGTAAATGAAGCTATCCGAAAAGATATCAAACCTAAACTACGAATGAGCAGAGTAGAATAAACCCAAATTTTTGCAGAAATGTTATTTTCAAATTAGAATTATAAATTTTCAAAAAATTGATCAGAAAGATGCTAAATAATGAAATTTTTATCAACATGCATTATAATGTCGCAATAAAAATATCTTAAATTTTCTACGATACTATTTTATGTATGATATCCTTTTTTTCATTTTTGTCGATCCATGTCTTTCCGATGAAATGTCATTTCTGTTGCAATAACGCAAGATAACTTGAAGCAACAAAAAAAATCAACCATTAAAATTTGCATAGAACAAAATCAAGACGCTTAAATCATTGTCGTTGCTCAATCTGTGAGATTTATTAAGAAACATAAATTCCTCGCAATGCTCCTGCACATCTTCATTTATCTATCTTATCACATCATTGGTGAATTAAGTGATACTTATTAGATTTGAGTGATTGATGTTTATGACATCTCTTTGCTACTTTACTTCTACTTGTCGATGTAAAGTTTTCATTGATCAAATACCATAATATGCTAAAATAAATGAAAACAAAAGAAAGCTGTTTGCTTTAAGTAAAGTTTATTATATTTTTTCGACATCTTATAATCACTCATATCATTCACACAACCGGAAATCATAGCATTCGATAAAATAATGAAAACAAAAACCATCAGACAATACATCTTCTGAAGCATTAAAGGTCATATTTGGTCATCACCTTGAGAGAGAGAGAGAAAGAGAGATGGAGAGGGAGAAGGAACAGAAGAAGTGAAAGAATACTAAATTGAAAGAGAATGATACATATGAAACAGGATAATCTTCTTCATCTTTCTCGAATAAACTTCTTCAAAAAGCTCATTAGAAAAGGTAGGTGTGGTCAGGAAGATGGCGAGCTGCAATTAATGCGGAAGCATTAACCCAATGGGAGGACAATAGGAATATTTTCTGGTTAAGGTACTTCGCTGATGGGTCATTTCTATTCCGTAATTACTAACTATTTCTTCCTCTTCCACTTCTTCGCATTATCGATGTGCTGGTGGCAGCGGGCTATTATTTATAGATACGCTTAAGTGGACCACTTTACTACTACTTAATTGCAATTTGATGATGAGTAGTAGAAGTGAGGGTGATGGTAGCAGTTGTTGAAAAGAGGCCTAAGGACAAAAGTCATTCGAATTATATTTGGAAGCAAACTAATAATTGATGCAAATCATAAAGATTGAGCAGTAATTAAATAATGCAGTCAACTATGTATAAATTACAGATGAGTAGAAATTAAAAAAGTGGAAAGATAGTGTGTGATTAAAATAAAGAAGCATTCAGGATTAGTGAGGAAATATGAAGCAAGAAAAAAGCGGAGATGATCTCAAGCTAATAATTTAAATAATGATATAGCAATGAAAATACAAATATTAATCGTAACCTCCCATAAAATCTGTCTGATTGATGATGTGGACAATCAAGATTGATTATATCACTGAAATGACCTAGAAAAAATAAGAATCAAAGGTGTGCAATGTTGTATGATTACTCTTATTACTTCTATTAGAAATAACTCGTTTCCGATCGAAAGGACACTTTTTACCGTAATTGGTCGTATGATTATCTCATATTGTCAACAATAATAGTTGTGATGACGATTAGTCGTACTAAAACAAAAATCTGTATACGTGCTATCTATAATTTATTAAACTATGACTACTGTCAATAATTTATTAAAAATTACAAACAACATGGAAAAGAGAAGAAATGGGAAAATAAGTGAACGATCGTTGCGCCAATATCATCGGCACGTCGAGGGCCAATTGATAGTATTGTTGTTGCGAAATATTTATTCATTGGCCTCAATATGGTGCGGTGGAGTAGCAGGATATCGTGTAATTGAAGATAATGCCAACCAATGTTTTCGTACCACCAATCACCTTTTTCCCCTTCCTTTTTAATTCAATTCCTTTCTTCTAACTTTTTTACATCAAATTAAGATATTCCATAATCGAAATGAAAATGAAATGAATTGTTACTTCTAAACTGTTTTCCAAGTCATTCCAAGTCACTAAATGAGGACAGTGTATTAGTACAACAAGTTGACGTATATATCCCTCTTCAATTTACTTTAGCCGTTATCTTTTCTCATCAGTTCAACAGTATGTATATCTTTTGTCTGAAAAAAGTTCACGAAGAGTTCATCTCTACAGTACTTTTCCTACCACTTTATCTTCAATTCATATCATAGGAAACGATCTCAGCTGATCAGAGAATAAAAAAATAATTTACGCCCACCAACACTAAAGAATACGGCAATGAGAGGGAGGAAGAAGAATGAGACAAAATAATGAAATAGTATTGTAATGATTATTTGCAGCATTAACAAAAGAAGAAGAGATGAGCAGAGAAAGCGAATCATCAAAGGGAAATTATTTTTGTTGTTACGAGAAATTTATTTTGGCAGTGAAGAGAGAACTTTAAAAGCAGTGAAGCAATTAAACTTTCCTCATCTTCTAACTTCTAGCCAAAGATTATTGAAGACATATTGCATAATTGTCCTCTTCTTCGCTAGCCAATAAGAGGAGAGCTAGTGAATAGCGATTAGCTTATGATTCTTATATTCGCATTGCTACAACAGTAACAGTAGTTAACGTGATTATCTTTGTTCAACAATTTCGCACTGATAATCTGTAATTGTCAGGTTAAAGTTATGGGCGGGATTGGGCGGGATAGCATTTCTGAAGGTACATTCAGCCCAGTAAGACATGTCTGAATGATGTAAATGAACAGGACACAGGTGATAGAGTTAGCTAACTGATGAAAAGCATCCTCGCTTCTCTCTCTCTCTCTCTCTCATTCCCTCTCATTCTCTCCCTTCCAACATCCATTTACTATCACAGGTCCAACGTTACAATATCGCTACGCTTAGAGATGAGCAATCGAGAGGAAAAATTTCCCGATTCAATAATAGGCATATTTATCAACAGTAATATCACAGGTACATTTCAATACCCCTAATGAATCTTTTCACTGACACTACAAATATTTCGCTTTTGATGTATAAAAAAATCACCCAGATGGTAGTGTGTTTTCCATCCTTTTATAGCCGATATTGCAGATAGTCTAATCAATAGAAGCAATGTATACTATTCTACAAGTTCAACTTAAACAATGATCATATCGAAATTTCACTGCATTGAAATTTAGGGATGTGATGAGTAATACAAGTGCGACAATTCATGCGCCCAGCACGTAATAAGATTTTCCTACTATTTAACATACTACGTATGTCAGTAATGACGGGTGCATGAATTGTACAGTGATCTGTAAGGAAAGGTTGGTATTTCTAGTTCATTGTCTTCCATCAATTATAAATGATGATAAGATTGACAATTTGATTTTCTAATATTTGAAGATAAAGCTTTCTCTGAAAATGATTACAGTTTTACTTTACATTTTTTCATTTTTACTAATGTGTTCACCAATTATGTATCTACAGATTTCATCAAGAGAAACTGTCACTTAACTTCTCAACTACGGAGGATAATCAATTAATAATTGGAAATTATGAAGACTTCTGTCTCACGTCAAATCATAATGAGGAACGAATTTTGTTGATGAATGAATAATTTGAAGGTCTTCGGGATGTATATTGTTCAATCTCTATACCGTCATTGCTCGTGTGTCCTGTAAAGAGTTGTAATTAGGGATGAGGCGAATAGGTCAATGGCCTTACGAGCTGCCTGCCATGGTCGTAAGCGGTCTGTGAAAATTTTGCGCATGAAGGAAACGAAGGCAAAGCAGCATATCCTTTTTGCACCTGTTTTCCTCTAAATTATTCTTCCATCCTCTTTTCGTTTCCTTTACCTCCTTTCCTTCACCTATCGTTTGTGATATTTTGAGGGAAGGAGGAGGAGAAAAGGGTCGGATAATGCGTAACAATTGGGGAGATACGGAATGATGGGAAAATGATTCTCAAACACAATGCGGGCATAATTATAGGAACGCAACCTATCGAGGTCATTCATTTGCTACCATTGCAATTGCTACCGATTTTAATTTGAAAGGCATAAAAAAGTCTATGAAAAGATTAGGATTGCAGGCCTTCAAGTTTCTCTTGTCTGATCTTACAATTCAGGTTCCTGATAACGTGCGAAATTCTATGTTAACATCAATCGTAAATGCAATTTTCACCGTTCTCATTCTATCAAAACTTTAATGAGCAAATTTACCCAATCTTTTCTTTTGGTGACTATAAGCCATCAGAAGAAAAGATTGGGTAAATTTGCTCTTCAAATTTTCTCTTCAAATTTTGAAGTCACATTTAAAAAAGATTTCGAAATCAAACATTTGCTTTTAATTTCTTTTTTGATTTCAATATGATTGGTATGAGAAAAAAAATGCATGTTTTTTTGCTTTTTTTGCTACGAAATTATACAAATTAAAATTGTCGGAAGATTAAGTATGCATAATATGTTTCAATGAAGAAAAAGGTATTCAAGCGCATTCGAACAAATCTGTCAGGAAAAGCACGGAATGCTACAAAAATGTTCAATCTAGTCAAGTAAGTGGACCGGCAATTAGTTATAAACATTATCCCTTTTTCATTTTTTTTTATCTGACAGATTTGAAAAAGCAATTTCCATAGTATTCGAAAAAAATTGATTGAATTTTCTTGGAGTATAAATGAATGTGAACTGGAACAGGCATATCTGAATGAATGACAAAGATTTTAGAATATCTGCTTATCATTCTGAAGAAAAAAAAACATACGGTAGGGTAATAGATCAAAGATATGTTAAATAAAATTCCAAGACTGCTTCAGAATCCAAAAGTTTTCTAAACTTCTCTTTTCCTCAACATTTTAAAATCATATATTTAAAAATACTTACTGAACAATTCAGACCAATTTAGCGTTCACAATTATTTAATCTTAAACTCATTTAGATGTATAATTAGTTGTTATGCAACTCCCCGCACGAAAGAATATTCTGGTTTTTATCTCGAACTTTCAATTCCTGCCAAGTCAGATCATCGGAAAAATTAGAAAATAGAGTTTTAATTAAACCAAAATATATTCATTTAAATATAAAGTTTCGGACTTCAAACTGAAAAGAGATTTGAATCATGGCTGAAATATTTGATTCGAGAGAGGTATTTTAAATGGGACAAAATTTCAGCCTTTCAACTATTTAATTCCATGGAGTTTTGCAGTTTTCGATTATGCAAAAATCGATAATAACATTAATTATTTTTCAATTAATATTTTATAAAAAAAGAAATTTTGATGTAAGACTTTGGAAATTTTTCTTCCTGTTCAAGAAAAAGTTCTTAAGAGAGGAAAAATGTTTTAGGAAAGTATACGGTTATTTCGCTTATGGGAATTAAAATTTTTTTACATAGTATTCATGTTTAACACCAAATGACAATAGCAAATAGATATTGCCGCTATCATCTTAACTCGAGAAAATACCACCGACCGCTACGATTATCGAAAGAAATGACATTGTTTGATTGCGAATAAGAGAAATTACGGAAGTCACAATAGTGGTAGAAACTTTCAAGGACATCATAATCTTAACAAACTGCTAAAAAATTTAATATTAATCCGTGAAATTGTAATACAAAATTGGGTAACGAATAGATGTTATGATAGGAGGATGATTTTAACATTACAATACGAATAGTTGATAACTTTCTTCCACAAATTTCATAGGATTCAATTATAAAAAAGTTAATCAATTTTGTTGACAAAGATGAAAGATTCATTGAAGTTCTTATACAGTATATTTGTTGAATATAATAATAGTACATATCACAATTACAATTATATTCATTCAATTTCCCAAACATGAGCCCATCATCTAAGAAGTACTTCCTATTCATTAACCATTCGACAAGTATCCCCTAAAAAAGTAATGATTTGGTAAATGCTGGTGACAGCTGATGAGTGAGAATGCTTGCTGTACATTTCAAGATGTCGAGACGTGCTCCTTTCGATTGAAGTAAAACTTGAGGTACATTGTGTGCAGGTATGTATTATCTGTCTATCTAACCATCTCTCTTTCTCACTTTCTCTCTTATGAAAAAGGTGTGAAAATAAATGAATGAAAATGTTTGTGTACGTTTCTTATTCCGCTTGTATATATGTAAATATATGAATTTATATATGTGTGTGTGCGTGTGCGTGTGTGTATGTGTGTGTATGTGTGTGTTTGCCCGTATGTTACCGAGTGCAGTGTTCAATTCTCGAAACATGTTTGCGGCTGAAAACAATGGTATAGAATAGTGATTGGCATTATGGAAGGAAGGAAGGAAAAAGGTGGCTGTAGTGAGTGAGTTGCAATGATGAGAGGAGTGGTCGAAGAGAGGTTGTTGAGAAGAGGCTAACTTTTATTAACAAATTTTGATCGGTCAACATTAATTTTCAACTCAAAAAGAATCATATGGGTAGAATGAATCGGATAGCAAACTCTGTGAAAGGTAATGAAGCAAAATGAAATGTAGGCTAAACATACTTTTAAGGTTCAATAACTTAGCTAAGTTTAGATATTAATTGAAATTTGGTCATAATTGTAAACTTAAAAAAGAGAATGATAGCATCAGAAAATAAACGAAAGATGAGTTACTGTGCAGGACGTGAAACTTGATATTTCTGCTGGAAGAGATTAATTTCCTTTTGCATTTTTATTTTCATCTATATATTTGCGTATGATTGTATATGTGTATGGATATGTATGTGTGTGTATGTGTGCATGTATGTGTTTTCCGTAAATGCAGAACCTGCTTGATATTAGATTACTTTAATTGAAATTAATAAAGTTAAGAAATTTCTCAAATTTTAATTTCATTTCTGAATACGTGTGTAAACAGAGATTGTGTGATTGTGACTGTATGACACCAGGAAATACAACAATGATTGTCACAATGACAATAACAATGGTAATGGTAATAGTAATGGTAATGGCAACGACAATAATGACAATTTGTTATGTCAATATTTTGAAGAGATATTTTAATGTTAGTTAGACGAAATGTGCACATGAAGGTGCATCATCTCACTCATTATTATTTCCTCCCTTTCATTGGGGTGTAAAATCTTAGAAGTTGTTGGGAACTCTCATAGAACAGAGAAATATTTGATACATTTGGAAGTTAATTCGATCAGCGTAACTGTAAGAGATCAGTTATCGACCTCAATCTTTAGATTCTAATCCCTAAAAGATAAGCGAGCTGGTCGATTTCATCAAACGTTTCCATTGCAGTGAGTGTGATGTTTTACAGAAAACTAGCCGACGATAGATAGGTTCATCAAATAGACTTAGCAAAAAGTTTATCGACTGTCACATAGAACTTATTTGAGAACAAGCGCTTAATTATAATTACAGTAGGTATTTCACCTCCGCAGAAAATTTCTGCATCGAAGAACTGAAAAACTTTTCGCAATTCGCTTGAAATACTTTACTTTAAATAACTTGAAATTCTAGAATACCAATATTTTAGTTTTTAACCATTTTAGATTTTTTCGAAATTGTGAACATAGTAGTATTTCTTTACAAGTTTCTACAGATTTAATCTATTTATTAACTTCTCCCAAATTACCTTTTTGGAAAGAAAAAAGAAGTCATATATCCATCTTTGTTACTCAAATTAGCAAAAAACTAGTTTCCGAAACCTTTTAAGATTTCAACAAAAACAAATTTCAAGGAAATAGAATGGCTTATATACCTGTTCGAAAATTTACTGATAATTTGGGTGTTGTTTAATAAAGTGAAGTTCTTGAAAATATTGAAAATTTTGGTTAAAAAATAAAAGATGCAAAGAAGGAAGGAAATGCGTTTAGAAGAAGAAAACCGCAATTTTTGGCATAAATTAAGCATTCACTTGTTCAAAAATTATCGTGCAATTTAATCTCATTTTTTTCGCCTTTCCTTTTTACACAAGGAGGAATTTTGTTTGATATTGAATATAAAGCTAAATAAATTTTCCATTAGTCACTGGTCCTTCAATGTCTTTTTTGCATATATATTATATTTCTTATATGAAGTTAAAAAAATTCCTGGTCCTTTTCCCTTTTTTTCACTCTAAATGACTGAATATTCATCATAATATTTGCTTTCAACCCTCTTATTTGTTCATTTTCTTTTTTATTTATTTACTCCATTACTTTTAGTTCATCTCTTAAGTTAGCTTACTTTAAAAGTACGTCATTCTATTCATCAACAAATATCTTCGATAATAATCTCATCTGATAGTTATAATTTCGAGAGTAATATTAGTATGAAGAAAATAGGATAGGACAGATGTGTAGATATTTTTTACTGAACAACAAGAGAGAATAAGGTAACCGTAAAGGTAAGGACCATCAATGATCTAATCAGGGTAATGATTAAATAAAATCAGTTTTAAAATAGTATCTATCTGATAGGAACAAATCGAGTAATACCTGTATGGCATTTAGTATGGCAAAAGTCATAGTACTATAATTTATTTAATGAATGAAAATGCAATCTTTTATCTCTGCTGTTTTAAGCAATAGCTGGTTGATTTATAGCTCTGCAACTTGTACGTTTTCCGTTTAGAATTGTACTTCACTTACCATTTGTGTTCGCTGTACATGTTTGTCGGTTCTCGTATGCAATTGAAAATTTGCTTTCAGACTAGTACTATAGGGACATAGATTACAATGATAAACACCGTGTATCACTGAGATATCACCAATCACCGGATGACTTCGATCCTTTTCTTAAAAAGTAGTTTCTCTAGATTATTCGTTTACTTTCAGTTTTTTATGTGAAGGGGATTGATATAAATAACTTTGATGTCAAAAATGGATGAATTTCACAAAAAATACTTTCCATCATCGTTAATTATAGACAGAAGTTTAAGGTATTACTTTCAGTCATTCAATGTTTTGGAGAAAATTAACATTTTAGACAAGCCAAGCATTTCAAAAATATATTTCTCAAAAATTTCTAAAATTTTCGGGGAACAATTTTGGCACTAAAGTTTGTACAGCTAAGCTACTTACCGATATGTTCGATCATCTTGCAAATGTCATCAGTTGAATATGTGGAACAAATCATGCATTGGAGTAAATTCTCTGTATTCAGATCACCACTTGAAATTGCTATAGTATTACCTGAAGTATAGGTTATGTTTATTTTTTGATAAGAATGATGACAGAAATTTGTAAAAATTAGTAATGGCATGTCAAAAAATATCACATAATTTACATTATTATTCTTCATTGGGAAATATGGATAGAAAATGATTTTAAATGAGTATTTAAAAATATTTTCAAGCGCTCATAATTAGTTATTTCGTTATGAATAATGGAAAATGTGAAATCGTAGAGATAAAAATTAAAGAAAAGCTCAAAGTCAGTAACTATTTAAATAAATAAGTACCTGACCTGTAACTGTGGGTGGTATTTCTTGCACTGCATGTAAATGCTTATCACTTTGCATATGTATGCTCAAATTACCCTTCGTTGTAGTACTATACTTGCATATTTCGCAACGATATGGTTTGTAGCCGCATGAATAGCTTTCACCACGGGCCAATCGAGGATGTGGTCGATTATGCAGGCAGAAAATACATTTCACCTAAAAAAATATTTCAAGATTGTTTGTTAAGGATTGTGATAGTTATTTCAAATTTAATATTAATGATCCTTTCATTTATGGTATTAACTAATTAGTAATTAGTTTAATACATTAATGTATGAGTAGGAGCTCAGTTCAGAATTTGTTGGAGGAGGAGAACAGGAGTACATAATTGGATAGATATAAGCAAACCTCATGACCCGCATGCTTCTCTTTCATATGAATTTCCAGTGTTTCTTGATATTTGTAATGCCAGTTGCATTTAGGACATTTTAGCGTTTTAGAGCTATTCCGAGCTGTTAACGTTGGGGGTGAGAATACCGATGCAGATGATGAAGAACCGGGTATATCATCTGAACAAAATAAATTAAAGATTCACAAAATGTGATGAGTAAAATTGATAGATGGTGATAACTAACACCAAAATTATGATAATTATCGGAGAAGCTAGTGATGCTAGAAAAACGTTGAATATCACAGGAACAATGAAGAGTGAAGATGAAAAGTTTTAGATTACAAACTATGAGAAATTATGATTGCATGCCAATATCAGACAAGAATCAATTCCTTTCTAAAAGATTAATTTAGGAAATATATAATGTAGATGGCGCCATTATTAAAAACATTGTTTCATAAACGCAATGCCACGAAGTTATTCGTCAATATTTTCAAGAGAGTAATATTTAGAGACGACTTATTGATCTATTTTGAGATCTTTATCTCAAAGAAATCTCAAAATCTTTCATTCGACCTCAGAAATAAAATCAAAACACTTCTAACTCGAGCAAAGTTAAAGGAAAAAAAGGTATGTAATTGCTGCCATAGGGATATTTATCAAATTAGGAAAATATAATAAACTTTGTGTTGATTATGCCATAAATTAAATTATTCCATTGTTTAGATGTCTTTATATTTTCTCACTCGAAAATGAATCAGTCTTTCCTTATAATACAATATGAATGCTTACAACTAGTGATTTTCAATTTTCATCTTCGTTTGAATTTAGTGATGATTACAATTTTTAACACTGTTCAGCATCTTCCGTTTTCACTTTCTTTTGATCCTTTACAATTCCTCTTAAAATCGAACATTGCAATCCCTCATCATTTCTATCAATGAAAAACTTCGATTATAAATTGAAGTTAAGTTAATTTCTGTCCACACAGTCATCATTTCTATAGCTACACCATTATATCTTCACACAGCTAACTGATATACGGATTACCACGAGTAAAAATTTACATCTTAAAACATGTTAACAATTTCTACTGATAAAAGCCTAAGAGAAAGTTAGATGGAACTGGCACATACCCATTGTGCTAGTTGATTGGGAAGACCCATTCATCAAATTCATCGGAACACGTTGCAAAATTCTATTGGCCGTGAAATCAGCTTCCGTTGACAGAATCATCGTTTGTTGCAAAAGGCGGTCCATATCCATAATTCCGTTATCGCCGTCAGTACTTAGCTCTCTCCCGGAACCATACAATACTGTACTTGGGAACGGTAATGAACCACTAGTTCTGCAAATTATGCAAATTTTTAAGGATAATTTAAATGAAATCGATATTTGCATAATTAGTAATTAATGATATACTTGGCTTCGATAAAAATTTAGGAGAGAAATATATGGAAAAAGAAATGAAAAAATTTTATGAATGAGAAGAAATGCAGGATGAGAGAGATGAGATGCGGGGTATAGTGATGGAGAACGGTCAAGCTTACAGAAGAGATTGGGACAGTAAGGATAGAAAATATATGCATAGGCATGGTTATATCTTTTCTGATAACCTCCCGAGCTATTAATCAGTTAATCGATTTTTCTCCATCTACAATTAGTTAATTCAATCTGGTTTAGACGTAATTCAATCGTTCTTTCACTCGGAATTCATTTTTTCTCTCAGCTGTTTAATTTGAAAGTATGGAATATACTAACTATTAAAATATGAATTACAACTGAAATATTTTTTAATTTCAAGAATTTTATACTCATCTATCTATGCCCTAACATTTTAAAAGTTTCATACCCATTCATCTACATCCCATTCCCTGAAAGTCATGTTAATCATGCACAATTTTTTATGATTGATAATAGAGGCATTTCTAAAATTTTTTTTAATTTGTCATTCCTTAAATTTTATTAAACTTAATACTCGATAGAAAAAAATATGCAGTAAGGAATAAATGAAAACGTTGTTGGCTGTTGCTAAAATTGTTAATCTGTTAAAAAAAAATTTATTTAGTGTTTCGAATTCCTTCCTTATAGAATGAATACATGTGCCATTCACTGATTTGCTTACATTTGCCAAATAAATTTATGCAGCTAATTCATCTTCCAGAAATGGCGCCACTACATTGAATAAAGCCGCATTATGGACTGAAATGTGAAGATCGAAAGTGACACCTTCCGGAAGTGGAAGGAATCGCTTAGAGAATGAAAGAAGTAAAATAACTGTTTCTGCTCAGAAAACATTCCATTTATGAAAAAGAAGATAAAAACTATAAGAAGTCCGTGCCTTCATCCTATCTAATTTTCCTGACAATTGCGCAAGTCAGCTATTTTCGTTAATTTATCAATCCCGTGGTCACTTGATATTTCAGTGAACTTTTGAACGCTGTGGCATCTATCCAATTTCACTCTCACTCCTTCTGTACACAATAAACAAATATTTTACATGCTAATAAAAATAAACCGTTCAATGGATTCCAAACCGACAGGGTATGTTTGCTTCTCGTCAGATTCGGTAATCGTTACGGAAGCACATTTTCTCTGTGCTTGAGTTGTTCCAACCTGACCAAAACATCCTTCGAAAAGCACCTAAAATTTTACATTTTCATTTTTTCCTTGTAGCTTATTCTTTTGAAAATTATCTAAAATAAAATATACAATGGATCCTTCAATACTTCTCAGGTAAACCATCTGAAGTGTTTTTGCTAAAATTCGATTCAAATCATTAACAATTTATTTATCGGTAAATGATTGAAATCATGAAATTTCTTTTAGTATGAATGATAGACATCGTTATTGAGCCCAATGGTTGCATTAAAATCGTATCAAAAGAAAATGATCGTTTGAAATGGTAAGATTGAAATTTTATTTATTTGATTTAACGTTGTTTTTTAAAGTGCTGATAAAATAAATATGCAAATTGGTAGGAAAAGAGGATTGAGAAGCGCCAGAATGGATGCAAAGTGCGAACTGAATGCGATAGTGCGTGCTAATGATGGCGATGGCGGCTTTATATTTACAGAAGTGTGAATATCTCCGCTAAAGCTATTAGTCTGAGGTAGTGAGTGTGTGTGTATGTGTGTGTGTGTGTGTGTATGTGTGTGTGTGTGTGTGTGCAAACCGAAGGCACTGTATAAACATTACTAATGTGCTTCACAGATGTGCTGCTGATGTTTATGTGCATGTGTGCTGCGTGTATGTAAATGTATGTGTGTATGTGAGTGTATGTCGTATGTGCACGCGTAATATGTGTATGTGAGTGTATTTTGTATGTGCACGCGTAGTATATGTATGTGAATGTATGTTGTATGTGCACACGTAGTGTGTGTATGTGTGTGTGTGTGTGTCCGTTGCCTGATTGTTTGGTTGTCACTTATTCAATGTGGGGGCCAATTTCATTCACCGTCGCTGTTCTAAATCACTGTATAAAAATTAAAGTCAGTCCATTGCCCTTCTCAAGCAGAGATTTTAGATTTTTATAGTTTTAAGAGTTATGATTTGAATAAATATTTCTAACTTTTTCAAACAAAAAAAAAATAATTTTGAATTTCATTCGTTTTTGAATTCATAAAATGTATGACTCATTTGATTCCAATTTCTCAACCAATCAGCAAACAATAAGATGTCAGCATTAAATAAAACTTTGAGAAATTATTTAAAAGAAACTTATAAAAACTGAAGAATTAATTTGCGAAATAGTACCCTGTAAATTTCACTCTCATTGATAAAGTCAAAAATTGTTCACTTACATCTATAATTTTGAACCAAGATTTTATGACTAGTGTTGGAAAATTATGCGACCGAGATTTTACGCCATTGAATTATTTGTTATTCCCGAAAACCAATGCACTCGCTAACAAGAGGTTAAAAGACATATGAAACACACCTGGCTGCAATATGTGATATTTCTGCATGTTATTCTCAATCCTCCCAGTTATAGCGATTGAATTTATTATTTCTCGCAAACAGTATTTATGATAATAATGACGAATAACAATAATTATTTAATCCAAATATTTTATACACTTTTCAGAAAAAAAATTTCAGTTCCCTATGAATTGTAGATCACGTGCGATGGTGAAGTTTTAAAATCTAAGCCAAAAGATGCCTGGCAATACAACACAAAAGACAAGTTAAAAATGTGATGATAATGATAATGATAATGATTATGATGATTAGGATAAATAAAATAATGCCCCTTTGCGGCACAAAATATATTCCGTATTTTTGCTCTCCGTTAAGAAATATGCTAACGAATGCAAATTTGAAAAAAATATTTTCTTTCCCATTTTGTAACACATTTGGAAGACATTGTGAAATAGCAACTAAGAAACTATTTTTAATTGAGGACGTCAACAATTCAGTTTTTTTTTTCAGAAATGAACATATAAATTTAAAAAGAAGGAAAATTTAACTATGAAAAAACAAAAAACAACAAAATAAATCAAACTTAACCGATTTTAATTTGCCACTCGAACGTGTAGAAGAAAAAATGAATTCGTATTGTAGCAATTAAAAATATTTTTCGTGAACGACGTAAACTCAACTTGCATAACTTTTTAAAGATTGATATTTTCAAGAATGATATAATTACAACATTGATGCAAAATATACAATGAAGATCAAATTGCTGGAATAGAAAAGAGGGATGGGGAAGTGTATTTGTGTTATAATTAGCAAATAATTATACATTTCATCACTGTTCCCTCCACCAAACTTCCATACACAACAACTATGCGTTGGTGACAATAATAAGAAGAGTGCAACTATCCATTACAAAAAGCCTACGGAAAAAAAGAGCCTAAAACTGATCAGAGGATATGAATGATGTCTTCTTAGCTGATGAAACATCTTTATCGATAAAAAAGATTTGAAAAATATTGCCTTAATTGGAAATTAAATCAAAGATGCAAAAAATAAAATTAAATAGGCATTATGCATTATCTTCTTCCTGTAACGCTTATAGCAATACTATTTTGCACAATTTATAATTTGACAAATTTGACGTTTAAAGGTAAATGAATAATTTAATATAAAATGCAAATACTAAAAGGATCACATTCAAACTATTTCTTTTCACAGATGCTAAAAATAATGTATAGCTAAAATTTCTGTATTTTTCGCTGACATTGTCTTCAAGTGCAAATTATATTAATTTTTTAATAATTTTAATGATATAGAAATTTACATACCGGATTAAAAGTATGGTCGAAATTTGCGTCACTTATTGTTGCTGTTTCGCTTTTATTGCTATTATTGATGCTGTTACCGGTGCTGCAGTTGGTACTGTTGGAATGCGGCACCGAGTTTGACCTCATACAATTTATGCTAAAAAAGCAGTTCAAGCTTTAATCAGTATATTTTCATTGTTTGAAATTGAAAAAGAGAAGCGCGGCGTGCACAGATAAAAATTATTTCCATGATATAGTTGTCATAGGATAAAATAAAACAGCATATTTGATCAAATTCAAAAAAAAAATAATCGAGATTATTCAATTTTCAATAGATTATTCAATGTTGAAAAAATATTCCAAAATTATGCGGCAGTTATCGAAAGATGAATAAAATTGGAATGCAGAAGTGAAATGAACAGTTACTGAAGTAGAATGAAAATGATGAAGAAAACCTTTCGCATTCAATAAAAACTAAAATTAAGAACTTGGAGCTTGAAATTTAGATTGTGACTAATCGGGCCCAATGCTATATTCAGTTAGCAGCTAAGCTATGTATAATAAAATAATTACTTGTCAAAATGGCTTTAATCTTACTCATGCACCACTAACTCCTCTAAGGTTTCCCAAATTACCGGATATTGGGAAGGTTGAGGTGATGAAAAAGCTTTCTATCATCCATCCCTCCCATTCATCTCTCTCCTGCAAATAATATCACGATTACAGATCTAGCACACCTTTACCTACTCGATCCGGAAGTCTAGTTAGAGCATCCTGAAATTTGGTTGAATAGGACAACACAGACCTTGAATGAGCTTATATTTGTTAAAAGAAGACAAATTTGGCCTAAATTGCAATCAAGCGAAGCAGTCACCATAATTATTTCAAACGGCTTGTTTAGGCTTTGGCTTCAGCGGCCCTCCTTTCTCCCTTTTTAGTTAAAAGCTTCCAAACCGATTATTGCAAAAATTTTTCAATGGATCTAAAATACTTTTTCCTTTTTCTAGTTCTCTATTTTACCACCAATCAAACTTAACAAACTACGCTTCTCACCGCTTTATACTTTAGTCCTGCTAGCTCCTATCGCGCCTTCTCCTTCTTTCCCTTATCTTTATTAGGCTCTAATAGCGCATTACCGTAATCTTTGCATATAACTATAAACACACACACACACACACACACATACATATACACATACACGTACATACATATACATACAAACAGACAGACATTAATGAATATGTGTCTAATTTTCTCCTAAATTTTCAAATTTAAGCACATACACACAGGAAGAAATTAGCTTACTCGCTTACCACTCCGCTGCACTTCTCCGATAGAAGCTGTTTGAAAGGAATGAAATTGGGGATGTAAAATTGCCAAAAATTTCTTCCCGTTTCTCAAATATGAGCTAATAAATTTTCTGGTTTACTCAGACAAATTTAAACATAATTGCTTGGTCAATATGAAATGGTAATATGACAAGGACAGAATCATAAGCGAACACTTAATTAGTGTTCGTAGCTTTCTTTAAAGTATTAATGCTATAATGCAAATTTTGTTGATGCTCATTTTATTTTGATAAATTCTCATAAGATACTTATCCGGAATATATAACACGGAATAGTGAAGATTGAATAGTGATGAAAAGTGATATGACAAATGTTCACAGTAACAAATTTAATGTTTTCAACAATGAAGAACAAATCAAACGATTGATGCCCTTTTTTCATGCACGAAATCTCCCGAGAGCATTAAAGAGGTGTACTATTTTTGAATGATAAAGTTTAATAATCTGATTGTATCTTCAGAGCTGGCAATAGAATAAGTAGAACACTTTGACAAACAATTTACTTCCCGTGTTATTGTAACGATTGCAGTGATTTCAACAATATATAAATTAAATTCATTACCTCAAAAGTGATGCCGAAAGATGCCAAGAAGAATAGTTCATACTTTCACTAACCGTCAATATTTTCCCAATGATATCAAATAAATTTTAGATTTGCAAACAGCAATAGAAAGAAAATTTGTAATTGCATTGATATAATTTTACCAGGAAAGAAAGAAATAGTTCTCAAAAAAAGAGATTTGAGAAAGTGGATCAGAGCGACATATCAGTATCACTTTTAAGTAACACCATGATGGATAGTAGTAGTAGTAGTGGTAGTAGTGATAATGGAGTGCTACAAAATTAACATTTCAAATCCGTCATAGTTAGTTTCGTTTAGCATTGATTAAAACAATAATTGCCATGGCATAGGGCTTACCTAACAATGTCCATTTTCTGCCTCTTTATAATTACGTTCAAAATTGGCATTTATGATGAAAAATTGGCATTATTTGGAAATTTCGCAAATCACTGAAAAAAAATTTGAGTCCAAATTTTTCTTTTCACAAGCTTTTTTTTCAAATCTCTTGATTTTTTAAGAAAATAATTAATTCGGAAATATCAAACTTGATTGCATGAAAAATTAAATAATTCTTAAATTCATTATTTTTTTAAACTTTGCGACATTTTCG